ACGACTTTAATAATAATAATATACAATCCAAAAAGATTCTGAGCTGATCAGGTAGTGTCAGCTATGTTTGTCAGATGCAATGGACTTGATGTTTGCCTGTTTGAATCCTCTTCATTCAGCTATACTTTCTGTCAATGTCTTTCGTGGTCTGTCTTTTTTCCTTTTCACTCTGCTAAGCCCCGTAGTGCTTTTTTGTAGAGCTCAATCGGTCTTCTGACATTTCCAAAGTATTGTATTTTCCCGTATTTTCACACCTGTTAAAAGTCGGCACAGAACCAATTCTAAATTACACACATAGGTAGAAAATCAAATGGTTTGTCCACTTAGAATTCCTTATGACGCGATGCCACACAAGCCATAACACACACTCAAAAAAAGAAAAAAAGAACGTAAATCACAAGGTAGACCAAGAACTATATGGAGAGATAACATCAGAGAAACTCGACAACAGCACGACGTGTCCGGTCAAGGCAACCAAAAGAGCAAACAGCGAAACCTTTTTTTCCCTCGGCACACAAAGCAGTAAAAGAGGAAAGGAAAGTAAACCACAGGATTTACCCAGAACTAGATGGAGAGATAACATCAGAGGAACTCGACAACAACACGACATGTTTGGTCGAAACGGCCAGAAGAGCAAGAGGGGAAACCTTCTTTCCACTTGGCACAAAAATCAGCAAAGGGTGAAAACAAGAAGTTAAAACAGGCCCACAGTCGTCAACGTGCTGAATGATGAAACAGCAAACTTCATCATCTGACATATGGTCTCTGTGTGAAGTATTAAGGATCCTTCTCAAATATTTCTTTTTCAACGCTCGTATTTTTCTGTAATGTTTAAGATCCACTTTTTACAGACGTATGTCAAGATGCTGATAGCTAGTACACTTAAATTGTCTTTTTCATAACTGACTATTTAATATAAAAGTCATATAGTAAGATTTAATGGCCTCTCAGAAACAATACTACAGAGCGCAGTAGAGGGCAAGGAGAGAAAATGCGGACCAAGAAAGACCTGGTTACTTGACTGACTGAACAATACATCGCATCTGACCGTCAAGAAAGGTGAAGAGAACTGATCATATAGTCAACATCAACTGGTGACCCAACGACAAGTAGTGTTATTAGTTGATGATGATGATAAGTCAGTTAAGCAATTACCACCGAAAACAAAAAGGACGGTTGTGAACAATAAATGATTTAGTGACAAACGGATGTGATTTGTAATTGAAACTTTTTATTTGTAGCATAATATTAATGAGGTCATAGGACAAAGGCCATAAATACCAACAAACACACACAAATTTTGGTAAAGTGAGGGACCCCGCTCCACACATCCGGGTGTTGTCACATACCGCTCGTGTCGCGTGCCTGATTTAAGGATTGCACCTTAAGAACCAACAGCACTCTGAAATAATAATGTTGAGGCGTCGGCTCGTATTGGTCCAAGGGAGATCCCGTGGCCAGTATACGCTTAACTTATTTCAGGAGTAGGGCAACTCAAGCTCTGGCACTACAGAATATCTAATATTCCTAGGCACACTTGGCTGGACACCCCCACTACTATAAAAAGAAATCCCATTTGCCCTTTAATAATGTGTGGTTCAATTATAGGGCGCAGTTTTTTATAGTTTTTTTTAAAGATCTTACAAAATATTTTCCCTGTGTGGCTCAATAGCGAAATTGATCTATACTGCTCACAGCCAGCCTCTCTTGCTGTTTTTCTTCTTCCAGGTGGGAACTATTATTGTGTTTCTTCAGTCCTCGTGTCTCTTGTGTTGTCCAAACTAGGTTGAACAGTCAATTTCACCTCTTCCTCTTCTGTTGCTTTGAGTTTTAGGCGTTCAATATAAATCAATGTAAAAGAAAAAAAAATCAAAAATATAATGATTATATTCAATATATGTTTTTTTTCCTAAACATAAAACAAGCGTGATTAAATATAATAATCAGGAATGTAAAGAAAAAAATCAAAAATATAATGATCACATTCAACATATGTTTATTTTCCTAAACATAAAACTAGCGTGCTTAAATATAATAATAAAAAATGTAAAGGGAAAAAATCAAAAATGAAATAATCACATTCAACATATGGGTTTTTTCCTCAACATGAAACTAGCTTGCTTCACAGATGTCAATGAGTACAGTAAACAATCAATAGACCGTGTGCTAATCAAATCTAGATCTAACACATCCTACCTACTTAATGTACTGCCAAACACGACACCAGTGAACCAGTTCAACTCTCTGGACTCAGCCCGCCCTATCTACGTTACTCTGAGAACCATATACGTTTGCAATGAAAGGAGGACTACATAACCCTAGGACGACTGGCGAGACCAAACAGCAAAGAGCCAAGAGAATCTTTTGTTTTTGCTGCATTGGATCTTATATCAACTTGTCGACGCATTGACCACTTCCAAAGAGTTGGCAAAGTAACAGTTTAAGTTCGCAAATGTAGCCAAACAACATTTATTAACAGGTCAAGCATATACCACTGTCCTGTATACATACATACATACATATATATCCACTCCAATCTGGCTAATTGGAAAAGAAAGAAAATAGAAAGCTCACTTATCTAATATGGTTAATTTCACAGTCATTGTCTGCGCAGATAGTCTGGTTTGCCGACTCTAGAACAAGCAACATATCACTGTATTAGTGGTCGTTTAAAGTCTATTATTGGGATTTTACCCAGCATGGTTATCTGCTTATTACATACTCACTATTGTTGTATTTTTTAAAGAGCTGAAAGTAAAGTTGAATTATGTACGTCTAAAAAAAATAACTGAGACTAACTGAGGTATCTTTATTAAAATTAAAATAATTAAAAATTACAATAGCTGAGGTTAGCATTATTAAAATATTTCATAAAAGGTAAAAATCAAAAATAAAATACTGTTTCAAGCTCTCTCAGTTAACAGTTTCTGTCATCGCCTTCCTCTCCTTTCCCCCACCCCCACCCCACCCACCCCACCCCCATCTAACGACTACTCCTTTGTTCCTGACTAAAGGATTTCAAATTCATCCCACATTTTTCTTGATTTATATTGGCATCCGTTTCCCCCCCCCCCTTCCCCCAGACTAAAATACGTAGCTGGAATTGTAGTTAGAAGTAAATGCGGCCGGTGTAATATTTACCACAGATATATATGTATATATATATATATATATATATATATATATATATATATATACACACACACACACACACACACACACACATACAATTATAAGGGTCATATTTGGCAATTTAAAATACTACTAAAGCTGTTCTGGGGGAATCTAAAGTGGAAGAGAATGTAAAAAAAAAAAAAAGTTTCATGATCTACAATAAAAGAAAATAACTGTCACTATGTTGTTGTTTATCCGACACAAGTAATAATGACTGGCCTGTAATTGGCCTGGCAGATTTAGATATGCCCCTTGGCTAGGGATTATAAAAACTAGTCTTAACACGAAATGCTCCCGTGTTGTATGAGCAGATCATCTGCGTAAGTAAAGTAAGTGAAGGACCCTTTTCCCCGCCTTGAGGCGTAAAAGGCATATAGGGCTAGACCTATAGATTATAGACCAATCGGCACAAGATGGGTGATGTTGTCAGCATCACGCCGGCCGCCTTCACTTTCCCGGGACTGCACCCGGTACCCACTCAAGGTTGGGTCGACCTGGGAGCCAAGGTCATGCTCCGCCAGGGAACGAACCCACGACCTTCCGATCCAAGGCGCGCGTCTAGCCGCTCTGCCACGGCGACTCCTCATCAACTGGATAGAATTAGTAAATGTATTCAGTTCACGTATTGTTGTGCAGCAGCTCTCCGAAGAGGAGATAGGTGACGTGATGAACGTCCAGTTGTTGTGCAGCCGCTCTCCGAAGAGGAGATAGGTGACGTGATGAACGTCCAGTTGTTGTGCAGCCGCTCTCCGAAGAGGAGATAGGTGACGTGATGAACGTCCAGTTGTTGTGCAGCCGCTCTCCGAAGAGGAGATGGGCGACGTGATGAACGTTCGCCTGTATTGACTTCCTAGGCGTCATGATCAATGATAAGTTCCTTTAATAAGATTTTTAAATTCTTATTAATGTATTTTTTTTTTTTTTTTCGGTTTGGGAGCATTTAAATTGTTGTTCCAGTAGTGATCTGATATGTGGAACTACATGAACTGTCTGAATTCATGATTGAGTAAATAATTTGATCTATACATATTTATTTTAGTGATGGAAGGTTGCATAGGTCTATGACCTCATTCACTAATCTGACTGAATCTATAGCAGGACACAACCTAACAGAATGAACGCTAACGTCTCCAGACAAAAACCTGATGGATATCAGTTATTGCCAAGTTTCATGGCGGGGATATCATTTATGATGATAAATGTTTAAAGGAACCTTACAGCGAAATCAATATTGTTATTTACCTAAAAAATATAGCTCTATTAGAACAAGAACATCCTTGCCTTTGTTATATTTCGATGCTGTCAGCATAAACATGCTCCTAAATTTGTTATGATGCGAAATTGAAATATTCTTGCTTGGTCCCCCTAACACTTTTCTTTTCTCGTCATTCTTTTTGTCACAACATAATCCAGTGTTCTCCTTCTTATGACTTGTCCATAGAAAGAGTAGTTTCTGACACGCTAAATAAGAAAAGTTTGTGCATCAAAGTTTTTCAAGACGCCTTTATGATGCGCTTTTATTTGCCAAGTATTTTTAAATTTGTCTTCACCAAAACCACCACAATGTCGCTTCCACACAGTTTTTGACTACTTCTAATTATGCATGGCTTGTTTCCACACACAAGAATGTGCTCTATATTATCATTATACCTTTTTACCACGTCATTCGATTGCTTTACATTTCATAAAATATTTTTTGTTTAGTCAAAGGCTGAATTTGCATGCTTTATATTCTACAAGTAATATGTTGCTAATAATGAAGAAGATATATCGGTTATATTACATTGTTGCCGTCAGTTCTGTTCTGTCTGAATATTCATTTTGTTCTAATACCGGCCGCGTATACAGTAAACCCCGGTATCAATTAGCACCTCGGCTATCTCCAAGCCAGTCAACAGAGAGAACCCTAGCCATAGCCCCAGAAGCCCACCAATAGTTCCCAGCAGCAAGTTCCAGTCGTACTTAGGCTGTGTGACAAACTCTAGGAACTCCATACTATCTAAAAAGATTGCAAGCCTCAAATAATTGGAGCGCACAAAGCGTTCTAAAGAAGGCTTGTCCAAGGACGACGTGTTAAGCAACCCTGACCCATTCAAAGTTTCTACGAAATCATCAAATCGGGCGTCAGATGGCCAATGTGCTTGCGAAACCACCGTGTCAAATGTAGTACGATCACAGGCAGGAGGACAGCGTTCATCGCAATCCAGCTCACTTCCCCTAAACCAATCTTCGACTTTCGATTTACAATTTAGATCGTCAGTACTATTACAAAGTGGCAGGTGGAGATCTGTTTCTTTTTTCGGCTTATCGATATTTAGCATTTTATAATAATCGCAAGACAAGTCTATGTCGCAACATTCACACTCCGCATACACAGCCATCTGATAACACGAATACATGCATGTCTTCTGTGTGTACATCTCATCCGGATACAAGCTGCGCTGTGTGCTGCCTTGTCCACCGGCCCCGACACAGTTGCTGTAAGGTGATGGCAAGCGATGTGTTATTACCTGTAAAAATAAATTAAAGTTATTCACCAGATTTACTTTTTCACCAATCAACTCACTATGAAGTTGTTGTTGTTTTTTTCTTTTAAAGGCTCCCTGACAATTTTTCCCTCGTAGTTGAAGTGTGTCTTCTATTATTGCAGCCAGCAGGATTACCAAGACACAAAGATGAGAATCCTACATGTACGAATCCCGGTAAATCCCGTTAAACCGTAAAATTATACTGAGAACCCGACAGGGCAGAAATAAGAAACACTAGTCAAAGGGCAGGGTTACATAACGCTAGTAAAAGGCAGGGCTACATAACACTAGTCGAAGGGCAGGGCTAGGTAACACTAGTCAAAGGGCATGGCTACATAACACTAGTCGAAAGGCAGGGCTACATAACACTAGTCGAAGGGCAGGGCTACGTAACTCTAGTCCTAGGACAGGTTTACATAATACTAGTCAAAGGGCAGGGCTACATAACACTAGTCAAAGGGCAGGGCTACATAACACTAGTCAAAGGGCAGGGATACATAACTGTAATGGTGTGAATTCCCTGCGAAATCCCAGAGAGTTCTCGATGGGGAGGACAAGGTCAGAGGACCAGTGATACAAGAGAAAAACGAGATAAGTGGGTCATCGTTATCCCATGGTGAGCGAAATAAGGGATACAAGAAAATCGTGAGACTGGAACAGAAGACGTGAACCGAGAGACGGTAGTGAGACAGTTGAAGTTCGGACATGGTTGGGAGAGGTCGTTTGAATGGACATATGAGGAGAATGAAGGCATTTTGAATGCTTGTTATGTTCCGAGAGGAGATATGAATGTTTCCTACATGTCTTACTACCGAGTACAAGGTTTCGTTCAAGGATGGATGGACGATTCGAAAGACGCTGATGGATCGAAGTAGTGTGTGAGAAGTTGACCAGGCCGTCGGAATCAGCCAAGCGGAACGAACACGAGGAAAGGAGAATGTGTGCATACGATATGTTGTGATTCAGCGAATAAAAGCATGTAACTGAATATTCGTCTCTGCTGTGTCGTAACAACTTACTGTTCGTCAGATAGCAATGCGGCTTACCGAAACATACCCCTAGCAGAGCACATTGCAGGTTGGTGGCTCGTCCGGGATTTTTAAAAAATTATTATGATTCCTAGGTAGCACAAGTCAAAGGGCAGAACTACATAACACCAGTCAAAGAGCAGGGCTACATGACACTAGTCGAAGGGCGGGGCTACATAACACTAGTCAAAGCGCAGGGCTACGTTACACTAGTGACATGGCAGAGCTACACAACACTAGTCAAAAGGCAGGGCTACGTAACACTAGTCAAAGGGTAGGGCTACGTAACACTAGTCGAAGGGCGTGGCTATATAACACAAGTCAAAGGGAAGGGCTGCGTAACACTAGTCGAAGGGGATGGCTATATAACACAAGTCAAAGAGCAGGGCTACATGACACTAGTCTAGTCAAAGGGCAGGGCTACATAACACTAGTCAAAGGGCAGGGCTACGTAACCCTAGTCAAAAGGCAGGGCTACGTTACACTAGTCAAAGGGCAGAATATCTAACACTGGTCAAAGGGCAGGGCTACATAACACTAGACAAAGGGCAGGGCTACATAACAATAGTCGAAGGGCAGGCCTATATAACATAAGTCAAAGGGCGGGCTACATAACACTAGTCAAAGGGCAGGACTACATAACCCTAGTCAAAGGGCAGGGCTATATAACACAAGTCAAGGGGCAGGGCTACGTAACACTAGTCGAAGGACATGGCTATGTAAAACAAGTCAAAGGGCAGGGCTACATAACGCTAGTCAAAGAGCAGGGCTACGTAACACTAGTCAACTGACAGGGCTACGTAACGCTAGTCAAAGAATAGGGATACCCAACACTAGTCAAAGGGGTAGGGCTACATAATACTAGTCAAAGAGCAGGGCTACGAACCACTAGTCAAATGGCAGGGCTACACAACACTAGTCAAAAGACAGGGCTATGTAACATTAGTCAAATGGCAGGGCTACGTAACACTAGTCAACTGACAGGGCTACGTAACGCTAGTCAAAGGGCAGGGCTACATAACATTAGTCAAAGGGCATGACTACAAAACACTAGTCAAAGGGCAGGGATACATAACTCTAGTCAAAAAGCAGGGCTACGTAACACTAGTCAAATGGCAGGGCTACGTAACACTAGTCAAAGGGCAGGGCTACATAACATTAGTCAAAGGGCATGACTACAAAACACTAGTCAAAGGGCAGGGATACATAACACTAGTCAAAAAGCAGGGCTACGTAACACTAGTCAAAGGGCAGGGCTACATAACATTAGTCAAAGGGCATGACTACATAACACTGGTCAAAGGGCAGGGCTACATAACCCTAGTCAAAGGGCAGGGCTACGTAACACTAGTCAAAGGGCAGGGCTACATAACATTAGTCAAAGGGCATGACTACAAAACACTAGTCAAAGGGCAGGGCTACATAACACTAGTCAAAAAGCAGGGCTACGTAACACTAGTCAAAGGGCAGGGCTACATAACATTAGTCAAAGGGCATGACTACATAACACTGGTCAAAGGGCAGGGCTACATAACCCTAGTCAAAGGGCAAGGCTACGTAACACTAGTCAAATGGCAGGCCTACGTAACACTAGTCAAAGAATAGGGATACCCAACACTAGTCGAAGGGGTAGGGCTACATAAAACTAGTCAAAGAGCAGGGCTACGTAACACTAGTCAAAGGGCAGGGCTACATAGCACTAGTCAATTAATTTTCAAAAATTATTTGTATCAGAAATTAAAATAGCTGATTTTTAACAGGCATTGATGTGTTCAAAATTATAATGTAAAATGACATTAGAATACGGACTGGTTCCATTTTCCAATATACAAACGTACACACACACACATATATGTATATATGTGTGTGTGTATATATATATATATATATATATATATATATATGTGTGTGTATATATGTGTGTGTGTGTATATATATATATATATATATATATATATATATATATATATATTCTGATTGAGTGCCACCTTTCCTTCTGTTCAGACGATAATATTTATATTATGCTGGAAACAGGCAAAGGACTCAGAGCAAGAGCCGCTCGCGTTAAAAAAAAGTCTTCCACAATTTGTACAGGAGATTTCATGACTATTGTTGTCAACATTTGTGTTTCGTCTGTTTCTTCTCAGACGCTCAGCTCTCACTGTTTATGCGATCATTTCTTCCTTTATTGTCATTCTCCCCTGATGTGCCCCTTCCACACAACACGTTGCATCTAGTTCCCGTAAGTCCACCTAAATAACTGTATTATTCATGTACCGCTTGCACTCATTCTTTAGATCTAAGTAAAGGTCGGTCTCGACATCTTCTACCGTCTTTGAGTCATCCTAAAGGATGTCCTTAGGGATTCTGTCATCCTTCATTCTCCAGGTGTGATCCAGCCACCTGAGCCTTCGTAGACTGAGAATTGAAAAGACTGTTGCAATATCTGCCTGTTCCAATACCTCAGTGTTTGTGACCTTGTCCTGCCACTTAGTGCCAAGTATTCTCCTCAGGCATCGCATGTGAAAACTATTTAGCCGTCTCCCCTAATGCGAAAATGTTTACCAAGTTTCATTGCCATAAAGCAGAGTGCTGAGAACGCTAGCGTGATAGACAATAGGTTAGTTGCGTATCCTTTACAGGACGTTGCAGAACCAACCCCAGCAGCCCCTGGCTGTTGTGTGGTTTCTCTAGGCAAATTTACGTCCAGTAGTTTGCCATTGCTCTCTGGACGGTCGGCCCAATGATACCACTGTCAAAACAAACGCAGGGCGCATGGTCCGCAGCTGAGA